TGGTTTTCTTATCTCATAAATTTCTCTAGAGAATTTCTCTAATTTCTTCTAATTTACCTAGAAAACTTCTCGGTATTTTTTTTTAACCAAGTGTGATATAGGAAGAGATTCTTCGTTTGATTAAAAAAGTCATTAAGTAACTGAATAACCATAAAATTACACCCTCTTAAAATTTAGTAAAGTGCTCTAGGATTAAATAATTTTTAATGTCAAATTTTTTAATTAAGGTGATGTGACTTACAATACTGGTAATGATAGTCTCATGCATATATTGTTCTGGCCCCACACCTGGCACCCCATACCTGGTGCCTGCTTCCCTCCACCAGTGCCCCCAAATACCTCCCACCCTCCCCTCTTCCTCCCGCCCCTAGACTCATTTCTGTGGAATAACTCTCTTGTTCTGCTGCCTTTGGCCTTTTGTTGTTCCCTGGCTTTTTAAAAAAGAAATGGCAATTTAATTTGACTTTTGGCTTCACCAACAGTGCTTGGGGTCCAGGGGTCACTCCTGCTGACTTTCAGCTGGGGCTGCAGGCCTGATAGGTCGGTGCTAGGACCCAGTGATGCTGTGTACTTAGGTTTAGGGGTGCAGGAAGCTGCTAGGGTCACACCCAGCAATTAGGGCTGCAGCCAGCAATGCTAGCAGTGGGGCAGTGTCGACTTCCTGGCACCATGCAGAATTTGTGCTTCAGGCATTTGGGCCCATGTGACAATATTAAAGAAGAAAATTGTTGGGGCTGGAGCCATAGTATACTTGGTAGGGAATTTACCTTGCTCGCTGCGGACCGGGGTTCAATCACGGCATCCCATATGGTTCCCCAAGCACCACCAGGAGTAATTTCTGAGCACAAAGCCAGGAGTAATCCCAGAGCATCGATGGGTGTGACCCAGAAAGGAAAAAAATAGGGTAATTGTTGGGATCAAAGAGATAGTCCAGGGGTTAAATCACATGTCTTGCATGCAACAGACCCCAGTTTAACCCTAAGTATCACATTATCCTCCAAACATTTCAAAGTGTAAAAAAAAAATTTCAAAGTGTAACTCTGAGGGGGTTCCCCAAGCACTGCCAAGTATGACCCTAGAGACCCCCAAGCACCATAGCCTTGACATCCTCAGGCCCTTACATTGAATTACATTGAATTGCTGATGCAGTTGGGGGAGAATGAGCCAAAGGGTTGCAAACTGATGAGCAACACAGACTTTGATGATGGGAACTTTGCCTTTTAAACAGAGATGACTGGCTAGAAACTATAAACTACCTCTTGTGCAAAGTGTATTCTCTCAAGAATCCCATAGAATTTCTGCACATGGAAGATTCAGTTCCCTGGCTCCAGGAGGCTGCCTCTGCTGGTAGGGCAGAGGGAGAGGAGGTGTTCTGCAAATCTTTCCCATAAAGAGCCAAATTAGTGGATCAGGTGGGCGTTGACTGCTGCTGGATCTCTTACAGAATTGCTGCTCTGCTGTTGTCATCTGAAGGCAGTTGTAGATATCATGTAAGCAAATGAGTGAAGCTGTATTTCAACACACATCTATTTACATAAATAGAACAAAACTTTTCTATGATTTCAGTGTGTTATGAGGGCTGGAGAGATAGTACAGAGACTAATGTGGTTGCCTTCCCCATGGCCTGCCCTGGGTCAGTCCTCAGCACTGCAGGTGACCTTCCCAAGCACTGCCAGGATTCATCCCTGTGCATAGAGACAGTAGTAAGCCCCAGACACAGATATATATGGTCCCAAAATTTAAAAAAATAATAATTGTTTAGATGTTTAGAGGTATATTGTATATTCTTAAGAGTATAAATCTGGGTCTAGAAAGAACAGTACAGTGGGTAGTGCCCTTGCTGAGTTCAATCCCAGCATCCCATATGGCACCCATGCATTGCCAGGAGTAGCTTCTGAGTAACCCCTCAGTATAGCCCAAAAGCAAAAAACCAAAACAGAACCCAAAATGAATGTAAACCCCCCAACTCTGTAAGCACTCATTTCATGTAAACCACAATTGGAATGTAAATAACTGTTATCTTTGCTTAACTTATTGCTTAGGTTGAAATTTAAATTAAAAATATTTACTTAAGGTAGGACTTCTCCTAGGTAATAATATTTCTTTCATCGAGTCCAAAAATAATATTTTGTTACCGTAAAATCAAATTTCTAATGGGCTCATTTGTCTGATGTCTAAATAGTATAAATTGGTGAAATATTCCTGTATCTTTCCCACTTGCTACTTAATCCTAAATTTACATAATATTTAATGGCATTAAATTTGCAGAGTAAAGTGAAATCACATATTTGTCAAAGGTATTAAAGTGACAGTAAGCATTATTGTATTGTTACTTGGTTTTGAAAGTATGAAAGGGATTTTTTTTATTCTATTGCTTGGAGATTATTATCTCCAACTTTTGGTAATTTAACTGTAAAACATTTTTAGGGTGAAATTTCAAAATATTCATTTTATTTATAAATTATACATATGAACAACTATCATTAGCTAATATTTCAAGCACAGTGTATGTAGGGTAAGTCTTTTCATTTATCATATCTTATATAACCAGGTAGATAATAGACTTCTGATGATTTCCCTCTGTTTTGTCCAAGTTCTTGTCACATCTGATTAATTTTATCGTAATTTGACCTTGTTATGTAGATAATAAAAAGCTTTTAGTAGGAGTAGGAAAGTGTCAAATTGGTAACATTCATGTTATTTATGCTGCATTGGTATTCTTGTAATCTGTGGGCTCCTTGCATGAAACTTAACCATTTTAGGGCATGTTTAGTTTAGGGCACATACTGTGATCTGTAAATGGACTTGGCAGATCCAGCCCTGTTCATTTTAGGGCACTCTGAGTGAATGAACAGTGAGGGTAACTTCCATCTGCTCTGTAGAAGCTCCTCTCTTGTGAAAGCTCCTCTGTGGAAGCTCCTCTCTTCTCCTAGCCCATTTTGAGTACTGTAATTAAGGCAGTATTCCATGGTCAGCTGACTGAGAGCACAGTGCTGACCCAGAAGTTCAGTGCCAGCTGAAGTAATTTGTTTTTTAAAGAAAATAAATGTAAACAGGGTCCCAGTAGTTTCCTCTCATACAACAATAGATTTTATGTCTAATATAAACCTTACAATCTTTGAGGTTCAAAGAATATTTAGTGTCAATAATAAAAATAATATATTTTATTTAGATATGAACACCTACATTGTAATTTGACTTTTTAATTGCCTAATCCTGTTTAGTGAGCCAGTTTTTTGTCATCACTGCTGTTTCATTTTGGGGGCCACGCTCGGCAGTTCTCAGTGCCTTACCAGCTATAATAGTTTTCTGGCTTTACCCAGTTAGTTTTGAGATTCGAACCCAGGTAAGGTTTCTTTTTTCTCTTGGTGTTTTGCACATGATAGGTGAGCATTAATAATATATTTGTATATAGGTGTGTGTACTACTTTTAATGGGTTCAAAGAACATTTAATTCTTTATTGATAGTCTTGCTGAGGATGTGTGATGTACAAATACTTTTATGGTAATCTTAATACAAATACTTTTTTCTTGGAATCTACAGTTTATTGTCCTTCAATATAATCTAAATGAAATATTTCTCAATTATCATGCTGTTTAACTAAAATTTCCCTTGAATTTGCTAAGCTAATTATCCTTTGCTTTCTTTCTACTGCTCAGATTCACTCTTCCTCTCAGTGTATTTTTAATTCATGAAACATTCTTTTTATTTAATTATGTTGCTGAATAATAAATTTTTCTGAATTCACATAATCTATTATCAGAAACTTTTCGTGTGATTGGGGAACCAAGACCCAGAAGTTCTCAGGGCTTACTCCTGGCTCTGCACTCAGGGATCACTCCTTGCAGACTTAGGTACAATAATGTGGTGTTAAGGATTGAACCCAGATTGGCAGTGTGCAGGGAAAGCATCATACCTACTGTACTATCTCTCCAGCACCGTATCTGAGACATTTTTTATAAAATGTAAAGTAGATCAGGCATTCTGGGCCTTTGGGGATTGATGTGAACAAGGGTAAGCTTTCTGCCCTGAAGGATGGAAGAAGTAGGGATCCAATGCATTTCCATTAGTTTATTGATGCCACATTGACAGGATGTCTATGAAGAAGCCTCACTAATTGGTCCTTAAATGAAGCTCTGGAATTCCCTTCTCAAGCCATGTCGCTCACTTGACTAAACAGAAGAGTGTCCTCAGTTCAAGCTGCTCAATAAAGTTCCCAGATATGTTACAGAAATTGTGAGATCATCTCAAATACATGGAGTAGAACCATTCATTTGTATTGCTAAAGGTTCTCATTCTTGTGGTTAATCTAATGTACAGCCAAGATTGGGAGTTCAATTCAAGAGCTAATATGCTGACTTGTCTTTTAAAAAAGAAAAAGGGTTTATTTTATTGAGAAGGCTCAATAAAGATCAAGGAACTCTATGGTTGTAAAAATTTAGGTTGTATCATGGAAAGGTTGGGAAAAAAGGAGAAATTTCATTATTTCAAGGCATTATAATTATAGATATCTATGTTCCCTGATCACACAGTGAGTATTAAGATGTTGACTCAAAGGACCAACATTTTATAAATTGATCCAAGCATGTTTAAAGGGCTTTGACTTTGGAAGAGAAGCAATAACTTGCTTATTGACACATACTTTTCACCTTATATGGTCTTTTGGCTTATGGATATTTTTCCCCAGTCTGCTCTCTTGTACATGAATATTCTTATTTGGTCAATTTTATACCTTATAAGGAAGTTTATGCTTAGAGATATATTTGGATATGAGTCTGGATTCTTGCTTAACAAAGATCGGTAAGGTGAATCAGTTCTAACCAGTACCATTGTTTTGATTTGTATAATAGAGCAGATTTCTCAGAAGAATATCCATCATAAGCCAGCCCATGAGGGCTGTTTCTTTGTAGTTCTAGGATCTGGAGAAGCATCGTATATCCAATAAATATGGAATGGAGCCTTTATAAGTGATCCCTGCAAACTCTATGTTTTGTTGTAGGAAGCAGTGCAAGTATTGATTAAACATTCAGCTGATGTCAATGCGAGAGACAAGAACTGGCAGACCCCCCTCCATGTGGCAGCAGCTAATAAGGCTGTCAAATGTGCAGAAGTCATCATCCCCCTGCTGAGTAGCGTCAATGTCTCTGACCGAGGCGGGCGGACAGCCTTGCATCATGCTGCTTTGAACGGCCATGTGGAGGTGGGTGCCCTCATCCTGGTGAACAAGAATAGAGACTCTCTCAACCCAAAATGCAACCTAAATCTTTTTTCTTAAGAAGTTTGTAGAATATGACAATAATGTTTATTTACCAAGCTTTAGGCAACTATATCTGCTTTACTACCTAGAATTGAAAAAGTCACCTCTCACCTCCTTCTTTTTCTCTGAGATGCTTACCACAAGGTCTTTGGTGATAGCACCTTCCTACTTTATTTGAATTTTAGATCACTGACCTGTCTTTAGATTTGTTGTGAATTTGTTTTAGATCACTTATTGGCGGAGAAGAGCAGTAGAGTGCATGTTTGATTTCTCCATTGATTATCTTTCAGATGGTCAATTTACTCTTGGCCAAAGGGGCAAACATTAATGCCTTTGACAAGAAGGACCGGCGTGCTCTGCACTGGGCAGCGTATATGGGTAAGGATCTCATGAGAGGGAAGCAAAATAAAGACACCCATTACTCATGAACCACAGTTTATCATGCAGGTTTTTTTCTTGAGCAAGGAAGATGCCTATTCAAGCGTAACTTCAATTGAATTAAGATGTAGTCCATTTTACTGGCATCCAGTAATACTCTAGTTTGGCAGTTGCTTTGTCAGAGATTTATATTTCCTATGAAGAAGACTAGAATAAATCATGAATGTGTTTCAGTCTTGATTGAAAAGCTGTACAGCGTGTTCAGCTGGTTATGGCAGCACAGTAAGATCTTTCAAAAGAAGAATTGACTAAGAAAGTAGGGGCATGAATTCTATTAGTGCACGTGTATATAGGGTGCTGGGATTCAAATCCAAGGCCTACATGCGCAAGGCATGTGCTGTACAACTCTGCTATATCCCCAACCCTACTTGCAAAATTTTGAAAGAAACATGAAGGAAAAGAAAACACTCCACCGCCTTCTGGGCATTTTTTTTTCTTTTTTGGTAACACCTGGTGATACTCAGGGTTTCCTTCTGGCTCTGCACTCAGGAATTACTCCTGGCAGTGCTTGGGGGACCCTATGGGATGCCGGGGATCGAACCTGAGTTGGCCGTATGCAAAGCAAAAGCCCTCCCTGCTGTGTTATCGCTTTGGCAACCTCCCCTGCTACCTGGCTTTTATGTATGTTGAGGTGACCAGAGTGGCAGTGAATCATTCTGCCAGGACTTATAGATCTCTCTCCTGCCCCCCCCCCCCACAGGGCAGAAAAGAGAAGAACATTTTTCATTTTTATTTGTTTTTACTTTAGTTGGCACAAATACAACTAACAAATGAGATATCCCAGCAATATTTATTCTCAGAGTAGAATGGTATGAAAATAAGAATTAATATCCATCCTTTTTAAAAAGGATTTTTAAAAAGCATTTTTAAAAAGCAGAGGATTCTATCAGCACAGAGTTATAAACAACCTGAATACGCAGCCACACATTGAGTTGCTACACCATGAGTCACTGTAGTGATGATGACAATGACATTTATTAAAAGATATTTATAATACTTTAATTTAAATTGGGTCATAAACATGAATGCTTATTTTTGTAAAATATCTGTAAAATGAAAACAGTATGGACTTAAATTCTAGATGCTAAAGACTTTGCAAACATTTGAAAATATTTTTCAAAGGTGACATGGACTATTTGAGATAACTGAAGCTGATGCACTCTTTTACCCGCTGTACTTTCACTTCATCCCTAGAATTTCTGTAAAGATATCAAGTCACCCTTTGTGTGGCAGCAGGATCTATTCATTAGTAAATAGGAAAAAATATGTAAATGTTTATAACATACATCTATAGTCATATATATTACTATTTTGAAAAAATAAAGAACAAAACCAGAACATATTCCTTAAGATTACACATTAGAAATTATTATTAGTTTTCTTGTTTTGTTTTGGGGCCACTTCAGACAGTGCTCAGGGCCTACTTCTAGCCCTGGAGTCAGTTCTTGTAGTCTATTATTCAATTATCAACTATTTTTACAGCACTGACTTGAAAACATCAAATAATCTGTAGTTATAAAATAAAGGTCAACTATGCCAAAGTAGAGGACTTTCTGTTTAGTGACTAATGCATGACAATACTTTTAAATCAGGCCATTGTAAATAGCAATTTTTATGGGTCAAAAAAGCCAAATAGTAGTAATTTATATGACTTAGTGTTCATCCAGAGGCATTCTGACTAACTGATAATTTTTCTTTCATTAGTTATTCCAACAACAAGTGTTTTAATTGAACTCTTCAGTGAGGGATGGTATTTGGTTTCAAAAGTGTTGCTCTCATTTTCACACAGATTTTTGAGTTGTGACACTTACATATTAGCAGATCCTCATCTTAATTTACTTGTGAACAGGTATCCTTTCTACCAAATCCCTTTGAATAGGCTTCCATCTGAATCAGCTTCCTTAGGCACTGACCTAATACCTGTCACACCGCAGGAACTTACTCAATGCATAAGAACAAACCAGCACTTTTTAAATTGCCCAGGAGTGTACTGGTGCCAGTATAAGCTAATAATTGGGTTTGAATGAATTGCCAAATTGTATGGCCTATAAATGTTAATGATGTTCTTTGCTGCTTTGTTTGTAAAGGCCACCTGGATGTTGTGGCATTGCTCATTAACCATGGTGCAGAAGTGACGTGTAAGGATAAGAAGGGTTACACCCCTCTTCATGCTGCAGCCTCCAATGGGCAAATCAATGTTGTCAAACATCTCTTGAATCTGGGTGTGGAGGTAAGCTATGATGAATGTATTGTCTCTTAGTGTATTTGTGGATATTCTGTCATTTTGAAATAAAGTCTTATGGATGTGTAGGTTTTCCTTTAAATATATATATATATATAATTTAGATATCCTGACTTGCATTCCCAACCTTGGTATGACCCTAGAAGGAATGTTTCACAGTTTTCTAGATAGTACTCCATAGTAACTTCATCATGTAACATTGACCTAAGCCTTATGGCACTTTCTTTATCTAGCGACCTTTCTGTACACTGACTAGTGCCCTCTGCTTTCAATAACAGAGTTTTGAGCATTTGTTGTTTTAGCTCCAAACCCACCACCAGTATCAGAGTCCCTCCAATAACCCACAGTTCCCTTGCTCTTCCCATCACACCTTTAAATATATTTTTACTTATTTTAGCCCGGGTCACATGTTTAGAATAGTGTTGACTCTTAGATTTGTGGGTTTTCTGTTCTATCAAAAAGCTCAATCCTGTTTGCATTTTGATTCAACAGGTGAAATACTCCACTTTTTTGGGTATCCTATCTTCCTGACTTAACATTGGCACCTGATGACAGTGTGTATCTACTAAGTAGAGGAAAGCTAGAAATTAACCAACTCACTATATCTACACTGATAGAAAATACTTAAACTTATATGTTACATGTGATACAAATTAGTAATTTTTAAAGGATCGGCGAGGACTCCTTGTCTCTTTCAGAACTTACCATCCAAGATATGACTTACAGGCAGGAGCAAGTGAAGGAATGAGTGTGCAGGGGCGAACCATGCACATGCTTAGCGCTGAACTAGAGCAGTCAGCATAGCACCATGATTCTTCCGCGAGAGGAATGGGAGTAGAGACGGGGCTGTGGAATGTTCTGTCCTCAGAGGAAAGGAAAAGGAAGCTGCAGCTCTGAGACTGTGGAGTGACGTCCAGCAGCAGCAGAGCAGGCTTGGAAAGCCAGAGGGAGCCTGGGAGAGCTTCAGGGCTAGAAAAGAAAAGCTTCTTTGTGAGGTGTCAGGCATCCGAACTCCATTTCTGACTTTGGGTTCCGAAGCAACAGCCTCTGCCTCTCCCACCTATTTCTCTTCATATTTTGATGCTCTTTTCTGGTTTCTTCTGATGTTTTGATCAGCCCTACTGTTCACATTTGTATCCCCTTTCCACACTTGCTAAAGCCTCAACTGCTTCTTTCCAGGTTCACCTTTTTTCCCCCATATTCACCTTTTGCTTATCTTCACCTCAGAATAACAAGCTTCCCCAAGGTGGGGTAGATAGAAAAAGTACTGGATAATAACATTGATGGATGTTACTGATATGTCCTTTCTCTAGAAAATTGTGTTGGGTGTGTGTTTGTGTGTGTGTGTGTGTGTGTGTGTGTGTGTGTAAAATGTACTTTAAGTGCTGTGTGTTGAACTCTCTCACAGATCGATGAGATCAATGTCTATGGAAACACAGCACTTCACCTTGCCTGCTACAATGGGCAGGATGCTGTCGTTAATGAGCTGACCGACTACGGTGCTAATGTGAACCAGCCAAACAACAGCGGGTTCACCCCTTTGCACTTTGCAGCAGCCTCCACGCATGGTGCTTTGTGTCTTGAACTCCTGGTCAACAACGGGGCAGATGTTAACATCCAGGTATGACTTTTTTAGCTTCTCTTGGTGTCTTAAGTACATTTTCACAAGTTTCTCAGCAAAATCTACTGCTATAAATGAAGTCATGTTTTCATAACTTGTAACTCCTAGTACCTTGAGTAGCCCTGTCCAGTGTTACAGTGCTCCAGAAATATTGTTGTTTTTTTTTTTCAGGAGAGGTGATACCAGCTGAATAATACTTAGCTTTTAGCCTTATGCCCTTGATAGTTTGGTGAATGTTGCAGAGGAGGTATTGTTTTTTAGAGATGTTGTCTCAGCACAGAAATTAATACTGAGATTGAATATTGAGTTGGTAAAGCAGTGATACTGAGAAAGGAAAAGAAAGCTTAATCTAATGACTTCAGGTCATTCCCAACCTTGGTATGACCCTACAAGGAGTGTCTCCCAGTTCTCTATATAGGAACTCCAGTAGTGGCTTTACGACATAACACTGACCTGGTCAGTATGGCAGTTTCCATATCCAGCAGTCTTTCTGGGCACCACCTAGTGCCCTCTGCTTGATACTGGAAAAATACTTCAAGATGAGATTTAAAAAAAAAACAACTTCTGCTCTAAAGGAATTTCCAAAAGAGTAAGGAGATAATATAATTGTGAGGCAAGGATAATGTAAAGAATTACATGAGAGAGGTAATAAAGTGAGTCAGACTATAAGAAGCAAGTGAGAACTTGATCAGAAGTAGAGGTTGCCCTTGAGTTGAGGCTTGAATGATTGTAATCAGTTGAGATGACAAAGGATAGAGGGTATATGAGAAGGGGGGCATTGAAGGTAGACAGAACACCATGAGTACAAAGGGACTGAATGTTGAGAAACAGGAAATATTTAGGGTAGACATCAGGTAATTAATCAGCTCTCTGTATCAGATGACCAAGGGAAACCTCCAGGTTACTGGGTTATTCTCACACTCTGCGTTGCTGAAAATTTTTAGATTACAGGTGAAATATTCTAACCTGCACCAGGAGATCTCATACTCAACCGTACCTGTCATCTGCTGAGAGAAGGAATCTGAAGCAAAATCCAATTATGTCATGTCTTGACTTTTGAAAAGTTATTTATAAATTAAATTACAGTAATTTTGTATCAATTTATTTTTATGGCCTCCATTATTACATTAAAATATTTTTCTTGAAATTTCTAAACCAAGGAAAATATGGGTCTAATTTCAAGGGCAAAAATTTATTGGGATTCAGTGGAGTTCAGTTATATGAAAAGGGATCAGGAATAAACTGAACTATGACCTGACCAAAGAAGGGAGATGATTTAGCATTAGGGATCCTCTAGCCTATGGGAAGGCACTAATCAACATGGAGATTATGAGCTCAGAATTGAGCATTAGAAACTATAATCTGGTCATGCAATGCTAGAGACAGAAAACATAAAGGATATCTCAGCAGCATCCCTAGTCTTAACCTGAATATTGTGAGTTCTGACATATAAAAGGCTAAATACGAAGTATTATATTGATCTTCATTAAGTTTCAGTTCCTTCTAAAGTAATGAGCTCCCTTTATCCCCACATAATATATATATGTGTATATATATATATATATATATATATATATATATATATATAAAAGCTGCCCTGCCAAGACTGCATGAAACTCTTAATAATTTTTGTTCCCATGACCCGGCTACTCCTGTATCCCTGAGGGGGACAGAGAGGGGAGATATGGAGGCCTCGGCTCAGTGGTAGATGACCTCAAGAAGAGATTCACCTGGTTTGATCTGAAACAAACTTTGCCACTGACTATAAGGCCATCCTTTGCATTTTCCTAAGCTTTGGTCATCTCTTGTTTATTCTTTGGTTTACTTTTCCTTTACCAAACACACACGGTACAAAAGGGGAAAGGTACGTTATGTGCTGTACCTGATATTGGAGCACCTTTGTAAACCACACAGTATGAAATTCGTTTTTTCCATTTTGATTTGGCTGTGATTTAGGTCGTGACCACCAAGTTGGTGGTCCTTGGGAAAGCCTAGGGAAAGCCAGTTCTAGAAATGGAAAAGTGCATAAAAATTTACAAAAATATTGTCTAAATACTAAAATGTTGGTAGGATTCGATCTATTTTACTAAATACGAAGAGGGGAGATACTGTAGCAAAAGTTAAAGAAATAGCACCACCCAGGGACAAGTTACTAAAAACTGCAATTTTTGATTTCATTCTCCTTAACAAACTGTATTTGTCATTTTTTTTTATTTAGAGGGGATGTTTTAAGTCCTTATTTTAAAATAGTTGCAGTCCTTTACACAATCTACAGTTCTGATAGCCAACACCCCAGACTTTGGAATCAGTTATCTAATAGAACTTAGGAATCAGCACTCTTCCCACTGTAGGACAGTGGTGAGTGATGATGTAATATCGTCCTCTTGATTGCTATTCCTTTCCCACTAATATCATTTCAGTGCAGGTCCAAGCTTATTTCAATCTTCATTTCTCAGTCTTTTCTGATCACTTGATCACTTGACATCCCGTTAATCATCGATTTGCTTGAGCAGGAGCCAGTAACGTCTCCATTTGTCCCTGTCACGTGCTAGTGTAGCCAATGTCGTCTGCTCGCTCCAGGAACACAAAGAGCATCAAATTGATTGTTCAGTGTCTTGACGAAGAAGTCTGATCATCTCATATGTGGTCGGCCACACGATTTTTTGACGTCCTGTGGAATCTAGTTGGTAATGGCTCTAGTCCAGAGGTTGTCTCCAAATCTCATTACGTGCCCAGCCCATCTGATTTTCGACACCTTGGCAAACAAGATAGCGTCCCTGATTCTTGACCATTGATGGAGGTTGGAACTCTGGATTCTTTCTCTCACTTGAGTGAAGCGTGATACTCCAAGTATAACTTTTTTGATTCCTCTTAGGGAGACCCGAATAGCATTCTCATCCTGTTTTCATAGGTCTCAGGTCTCTGAGGCATATGTTAATGCAGGAAGAACAGTGGAATCGAAGAGATGTGCCCGAAGCCGGAGGTTCTTCATCCTCTTAGCTATTTCTTCAATGCTCTTGAAGGTGTTTCTAAGCTTCTCTCTTCCTCCTGCACAACTCAGGTGCCTGGTCATTCATCATGTTGACTTCTCGACCTAGGTACACATAACTGTTGCATTCAGAGATGTTCATTCCATTGAGAGCTGATGGAACATCAGGAACAAGACTGTTTCTCATAAACATCGTCTTCGTGAGATCCAGCTGTAGTCTGACCTTTCCACACTCATGGTCGAAGTCGGCCAGCATTTGTACTGCTTGGCTAATGTTTGGTGTTATTAGAATGATGTCATCAGCGAAGTGGAGGTGGTGTAGTTGCCGACTGTCTATCTTCACTCCCATTCCTTCCAATTCCAGTTGTTGCATGATGTACTTGAGGGTGGCACTGAAGAGTTTCGGTGAAATGGTATCACCCTGCCGAATCCCTCTCTTGACATCGATGATTACTTCCTTGTAGAATGGTGAGATCCTGGTAGTGAATCCATAATACAGCTCACAGAGGATCCTGATGTATTGAGTTTGAATGCCCTGTTTGGCTAGGGCTTCGATGACCACTTCAGTATCAACAGAATCAAAAGCCTTCTTTAAATCAATGAACGTTAGACAGAGCAGCATCTTGAACTCCCGAGAAACTTCAATGACCTTGTTTATCGTGTGGATCGATACTGTGTGGAGCTTGGTCGATCGTGCTGAATCCTTTTCAGAACCCGGCTTGCTCACATGGTTGTCCTTCATCTAGTGTTCTGCCAATCCTATTCAGGATGACTCAAGTGAACAGCTTGTAGATAACAGACAATAGGCAGATCTGGCGATAGTTGTCAATGTCGTAGATGTCTCCCTTCTTGTACATAATCATAAGATAAAGAAAAGACCCTGTTTCTCTACCTTCCCTGCCCACCCCTCTTCCCAATGTCCAAAAGAATCCTGTATTTTTTACTAAGATATGTTTACCACTCTGATGAACTCTTGCCTTTGATATGAACTATATGCAATCCCATTTTTCCTAAGATATATTTCTACAGGATATTATAAAATGTTTTTCTGTAACAAACCTTATAGTTTTATAAGTTATCCCAGCTCATAGTCAATAGCACCCAAGCTTCAGTGTATTCTTCAAGGAGCCAAAGAGATACAGTGGGTTGGGCTTTTGCTTTACATGAAGCTGATGACCCAGCTTCATCATGCATATGGTTCCCTGAGCACAGAGTCAGGACTGAGTGTTGCCAGGTATCACTCCAAAATAAACAAAAGAAGCTGTGTTAGAAATAGGGATTAGAGAGAGAGAGAGAGAGAGAGAGAGAAAACCTGGGGAGCAGAGACATTGAAGTCTTGTAGTATATGGTGGTCATGCCATGTATGGTGGTCATGCCATGTACCTGCCATGTATGACCTTGGTGACTCCCAGAACTGCTGAGCACAAGAAGCTCTATTTTCTCAGCAGAATAATGTTGGGGGTGGTCCTTTTTACGAGACCCTCCACACATGAGAAGATGCCCAGTCTGATTCAGTAGACTGGGTGAGGGTACAGAATTCACATTTGTGATTAGCAATCAGGCTATTCAGATGGAGATAGTGGCAACTTCACTCTCAGAGATATTTGCCTAAATGATGATGTGTTTTCTTTTTATTTATTTATTTATGTATTACTTTTTTATTGGATTATTGTGAAATAGACAAAGCTTACAAAGCTGTTCATGATTAGATTTTAGTCATACAGTATTCCAACACCCATCCCTCCACCAGTGTACATTTTCCAGCACCAGTGTCCCCAGGTTCCCTCCAGTCACTCCCCCTACCCCCAACCCCCACTGTCTGCCTGCCTCTATGTCAGGTGCTTTTTTTCTTCTCTCTCTCTCTCTCTCTCTCTCTCTCTCTCTCTCTCTCTCTATCTCTCTCTCTCCATCTCTCTCTCTCCTTTCAGGCATTGTGGCTACAATATTGATACTGAAAAGTTATCAAGAATATCCCTTTCTTGGGCTGGAGCAATAGTACAGTGGGTAGGGTGTTTGTCTTGCACGTAGTTGACCCAGGTTTGATTCCCACATGATCCCCTGAGCACTGTCAGGAGTAATTTCTGAGTACATGAGCCAGGAGTAACCCCTGTGCATCACTGGGTGTGACCCAAAAAAGAAAAGAAAAGGAATAGTCCATTATGCCAAACACAGTAACAAAGTCTCACAATGGAGACGTTACTAGGCCCGCTTGAGTAAATTGATGAACAACAGGAGGACAGTGACAGTGACCTACATTTAATACTCAGATCCTGTCCAACATGATAATTTCCTGCTATTATTGTCATACTGATCTCTTCTCTATCTTACATACTCTCAGCTCCCCCGCCCCCACCACCACACACACACTTGTGGTTAGTTCCAACCATTGACCAGTCCACCTAACCCCTGTTTTCCTGGCAATGGATATATATAGTCTTCTACTATATATATATTTTATATACCACTAATAAATGGAGCCATTCTATATCGTTCCTCTTCTTTTGACTTGGGCTGGAGCGATAGCACAGCGGTAGGGCATTTGCCTTGCATGCAGCCAACATGGCCGACCCGAGTTCGATTCCTCCGCCCCTCTCGGAGAGCCTGGCAGGCTACCGAGAGTATCTCGCCCTCACGGCAGAGCCTGGCAAGCTCCCCGTGAAGTATTTGATATGCCAAACACAGTAACAACAAAGTCTCCGATGGAGACGTTACTGGGCCCGCTCGAGCAAATCGACGAACAACAGGAGGGCCTTTACCTTTACCTTTTCTTTTGACTCATTTCACCCAGCATGATACTCTACATGTCCATCCATTTATAGGCAAATTTCACGACTTCATTTTTCCTGATAGCTACAGAATATGCTATTATGTAGATGTGCCATAGTTTCTTTATCCATTGGTCTGTTCCTGGGCACTCAGGTTACTTCCAGATTCCGACTATGGTGAATAGTGCTCAGTGAACATAGGAGTACAGATGGTCTTTCTGCTGTGTGTTTTTGGGCCCCCAGGATTGGTATTGCTGGGTCAAATGGGATATCAATTTCTAGGTTTTTTAAAAAATTTTTATTAGTGAAACACCATGAGGTTTTTTTCTTTAACTTTTTTATTGAATCACTGTGAGATAGACCCTAACAAAACTGTCATAATTGGATTTCAGTCATACAGTAATCCAACCCCCATCCCTCCACTGGTGTACATTTCCTAGCACCAGTGTCCCAAGGTTCCCTCCAATCAGATAATTTGTTTTCTAATGTGGAGTTTTAGGGTTGGGAGTGTTAGGCCACAACTGATGGTACTCAGGGGCTACTCAGTCCTGGTAGTACCAGCAATCAAACTGTGGTCAACTGTGTGCAAGGCCAATGCCATAACCTCTATACTTTTCTCCAACCCCACTAATGTGGGTTTTTTTTTTAAATAGTATTTTTAGTGCAAAAGTATATGGATTTTATTACATCAATGAACCTGCATTTTTGAAGTCTCATATTTTAACCTTTAACTTCAGGTCATAGATTTATCTTGAGACTTAGAAATATAATGGTTATGCTGAAAGTAGACTATAGACCACCACCCATTGCCTCTTCCATAAACCACAACACCCAATAGGAGAGAGAGAACAAAAGGGGATGCCCTGCCACAGAGGCGGGGGGGCGGAGTGATGGGGGGGATACTGGGATCTGTGGTGGTGGGAAATGGGCACTGGTGGAGGGATGGGTGTTTGATCATTTTATAATTGAAACCCAAGCACAAAAATGTGTAAGTCTACAACTGTACCTCATGGTGTCTCACTAATAAAAAATTTAAAAAAAATAAATAAATATAATGGTTGTATAGTTTTTAAAGGAAATTCTTGAGTAAGCAAATATATTTTATTGGGAAATTTTTTAGATGAAATTCTCTAAATGACAAGAAAGAATAAGACTTTGATACTTGATAGAATGCTAATCAGCAGGTAAATTCTGTACATTGTCCATGTTTTGGTTTAATTTGTGTCAGAAAGTTTCATCATTCACATTTTGAATAATAAAGAGGTGTGCAGATTCAACATAAATTTCTAGGAGATCACTAAAATGACAATTTTCTGAATAATTTCATGCCTTCGTCCTGTTATTCCTAATCAGTTAAGTAAGAAGGGAAAATGTTCAAAATGTTATTTTTCTGTGGACCTGAAATATAGGAAATAGCCACAGATTCTACATCAGTACTGAAAGTTGTGACAATTTATAACAATTTACTCAACTTTATATTAAAAAAATACCAAGCAGACAACATACTATTTTCCTCTTTTGAAATATTACAAACAAAAATTAAAGAAATCCCTTGAAAAAAGTCTCCAGCAGTAAATTAAAAGGAAGATAATAACATTTTGGAAGATAGTTTCAGTTTTCAAACAGGGTAGTATAAGGACTTTCACTAGGGCCCAGAGGGGGTGGGCAGGGTGCTTGCCTTGGATGTGGTCAACCCAGATTCGACCTTGGGCATCACATATAATAAATCCCCTGAGCCCACAGCACAGAGCCTGGAGTAAACCCTGAGCATCACTGGGTGTGTCCATAAACAAAAAATAAAAGACATTGGTATAGCTAGAAATTTTACACTTATTCTCCAGTAATTTTCACTTCTCTGTGCTAATTTAAAATGAGATATTATAAAATAAATTTGTATCAGTTTATGTCCTCTTTCTTTGGCTTTCACATTCATATTTTCACATTTTTTTATTGTACTAAAAATTTTTGATGGATATATTCAGGGCATTGCTGGTGGTCTGCATGGGGATAATTCTGAGAGATGTCACTCATTCATTGTTTCTCTTTCTTTAATTTTTAGAGTAAAGATGGCAAAAGTCCACTGCACATGACAGCAGTCCATGGGAGGTTCACCCGTTCGCAAACCCTCATTCAAAATGGTAAGAGAGATTGTCTATAGGTCATTATTTGAACTGTGTCCTGGTCTGACTTAATTTGGCTGTCAGCCCTTCATTGTGAACAATGATGCTCTATTTTAAAGTTTATTAAGCTTGGATTTACACAGCTCTTTGCAGTCTTTTTTTACTCGAAGCTCTTAAGCAGGCATATAATCACCATTTAGCATAGGAATAAGATCATAAAGCCATAAAGAGTCAATTCGCAGTCAGAGGCCATGTTGAGTTTCAAGACTGGAAATTATTTATGTATCTAGGCTCAAGATCCTGCACTTTTTGCTGTGAAACTAAGGACAGTCATTAAGATACATTTTCCAGCAGCAAATCTGAGTTAGTCTTAAATGGTATAATTTATTTTGGTTCCCTAAGCAGAAACTCATCAAACTACTTGGGTAGAGGTAAGAATGAGATGAGTCAGAGGAAAAGTAGGTAAGTACTTGATGTAAAGGTTCATAAAATCACAGGTCTGATAAAGTGAGGTTGGAAAAACCACATAATCTTGTAATTTTCCAGGTTTAAAATGGTGACATATTTGCAGCGCTATGTTGTCCCTGTAGCCAAATTATTAGAGAGAGTCAATTCCCATCATGGTTCACCTTACTTTCACTGGGTCATGGCTGACATCTGTTGGTACCTTGACTTTGACAGCTCACTCTCTATTATCTAAGGAAATCTTAGATACAATTAAAAACAGATTTAATACAGGTTTTATCTCAATCCTAAACTCTCTTGAGTTGGTCCACATTTCTACTCTCAGAATTCTAGTACTAGTCCATTTTGGATCTATTTTTTCCTCATCTTTAAGAAGCTTTTATTCATTTTACACTTGAAGACTGGCCAGAGTAATTATTCTTAAAAGAAAATAATAGACAATAAAGGAAATTCATAAGCACTTTAGTGAAATTATAACAAGTTTCCAGTGAGCCAAGCCAGTAAAATGAAAATTAATTGCACAAAATCCATTCATTCTAATGTGAAAGACTTGCTATTCTTTTGACATTCATTTTCTTCAAAGCACCACTGTTTTACTTGTTTGAAGTAAACAGGATGAGCAGGATTGACCTTAACGTCTATCCTCTGTATACTCCCCTTATCTCCCACTTCTTCTGAACTTGTTCTCAGAAATATTATCTACCATCTTAAACATAAAGCTAAGAAAATATTTGGTATCCATTAAAAAATCGAGTGTACATTTAATCAATGAGCCTTAGCTCTATGGCATTAAAAAGCTTTGTTCCCTGTTAAAGCAATTTCAAGCACCAGTAACCATATCAGAGAAAGAGCAGTTTTTCAGCTTGTAAGCACTGCCTTCCTACCAGCCCATTCCTGTAGGCTACAGCATACTGGCCATATCCATAAAATCAGGTCAGAGTCCATCTTTTCTCTTTCATGCTACTTGCTTGGAAGCGAGGGTAGTTGTGCTGTTGGCTGCTTTGAATGATCCAAAAGCTACTGCAGTGTTTTTTTATTGTAGCTTGAGGACTTCCATACATCTCAGACATTCTTACTAGACTTGAATTGGAACAAGACCTGAGCGAGACCCTATCGGTGGTTCTCTGTGATCAGTGACTTTGTTTTTGAACCTATGTCATTCTATGCTGCCTCACATTCTGCTTCTGGACTAAAAAGGAGTCCAGAGACCTGAAATGATGAGGAGGTAGAAGTTTTGATAAATAACCTATTGTATATGGCAAGCTACCGGCAGAGCCTGGCAAGCTACCCGTGACGTATTCGATATGCCAAACACAGTAACAACAAGTCTCATGATGGAGATGTTACTGGGCCCGCTCGAGCAAATCGATGAACAACGGGAGGACCGTGTTTGTTTGTTATATAATGATAAAATGAGCACAAGTTGAATGCTTACCTCTGCAAAGAGCTTGGCTAAGCATTCCACATAAATCTGTTCATCCACCCAGTGAGGAAGAGGTACTCTTCGTGTTTCCATTTGAAGCATGGAAAACAGAGGCAGAGAAGTAGTTGCCTTTGTGGCCTACATGGCTGGGATATGGAGCAACACGGATTGGAACATAGGCAGTCTAATATCTGAATTGAACTCCACACCTACAGCACTTACATATGTTCCCTGGCTCAACCATGAACTTAAATATATATATATATATATATATATATATTTTAAATTGAATCACTATGAGATAGACTCTTACATAGCTGTTCATGATTAGGGTTCAGTCATACAGTGTTCCAATACCCAATCTACTAGTGTACATTTTCTGACACCACTGTCCCCAATTTCCCTCTCATCACCCCCCACCTACCTCCCTAGCCTACCTCAATGGCAGGCACCTCTCTCTCTCTCTCTCCTCTCCTCTCCTCTCCTCTCCTCTTCTCTCTCTCTCTCTCTCTCTCTCTCTCTCTCTCTCTCTCTCTCTCTCTCTCTCCCCTGCCCTTTTGGGCATTTTGATTTGCAATACAGATACTGAAAGGTTGTTGTGCATATCTATCTCTTTACCTACTTTTTTGCTATACAGCAGTTAGGAAAAATGAAGTCATGAAATTTGCCTATAAATGGGTGGACATGGAGAGTATTCTGCTGAGTGAAATTAATCAGAAGGGGCGGGACAGTTATAGAATGATTGTGGTCATTTGTGGTATATAAAAATATATAGTAGAGGGCTGGAATGATAGTACAGCGGGTAGAGCATTTGCCTTGCACACGGACGACCCGGGTTTGATTCCCAGCATCCCATATGGTCCCCTGAGCACTGCCAGGACACAGAGCCAGAAGTAACCCCTGTGCATCAGCAGGTGTGACCCAAAAAGCCTATCTATCTATCTATCTATCTATCTATCTATCTATCTATCTATCTGCCCCTCTATATTAGTAGAAGACTAATATCCAAATCCAGGGAAAATAAGGGCTAGGAGAACTAGTCAATGGTTAAAAATCATTTTAGGTCTTTATTTTTGAGCCATATCCTATAGTGCTCAGGGCTTATTCCTGGCTCTGTGCTTAGGGATCCCCTTGTGTTTAGGGGTTTGGGGGACACATGAGGTTCCAGAATCAAATCTGGGTTGGCCGTGACTCGGCAAGTACTACCACTGTACTATTTCTCCAGCCTCTTTACTTGAATTTTACTTTAGTCAGTCATTTTGGGAACCGAGTTTATTTCTGTAAAAGGACACTTTGCCTTCTCTTCTCTCAGTGTACTATTCCTGGCATTCATGGCACATGTGAGTAACATGAGGTCTTCTATTTGACATTTTAAAATATACTCTTAGGGTGAAGAAGAGAAGACTTTTCTTTTCCCCTATTCTTTGGCTTCCTTCTGGGAAAAATCCAGACTCATGTCCTTAGGAGCTAATTTGCCTCTTGCATTGTGGCTCACTACACACCCAGACCCAGAGTGCCCATCCCTCTTGGGAAAATTGGTTTACTCCTGAATACAACTGGGCATGCAACTGAGGAACATTTTTTTTCTGTTATTTGTTTTGTTAAATAACTCCGGTGTTTGAACTTTATACTGCATTTCTCAGCTTGTCTGACTGCTTTCCCATCTGGATGGTTAGCTCTTCACAGGTTTGTTTGTCCCAAATTATTTGACCTTGGTAAGACAATCATTCATCTTACCAAAATAGGCTTTGGTTTATTTATTTTTTTTTAGTTGTAAGTGCATGAAGACTGCCTCTATTATTCAGTCACTTTATTGTCGTTGTCACAGCCAGGTAGAGAAAGAGCAGGACAAAGAAATATTAGAAGACCAAAAGGGCCAGCAGAAGCCTTTGCACTGGGCAACTGCCCGAGTTCCCCAAACATTCGAAGATTGATGTTTTCTTCACAGAAGATTTAAAAACAGAGTTTGAAAGAAAAGAGTCAGGTGATAGGTTAGAATGAATCATTGTGAGATTTTTGACTTTTTACTTATGAGTCTTCCTTGGAACTTAATAAAATAATCACTCTTGTTTATCCAAATGAAAAACCAATTTAAAATGAGTTCTTAAATGACCCCTTCTGACATACTCTCCTAAACTCATAAACATTTGTTTTCTCCTATCAATTATTATCACATTTAACCTACAGTCTTCATATAAGAGAAGTATTTAGTTGGCGTTCCAAGTGAATTTTAAAGATTTTCAAGTGAAAAGGAAAAGATTTCAGAACCTGGAGAGAAAGTACTGTAATCAGACACTTTTAAAGCATATAAATGGCTTGCATATTAATAAAATTAAAACCCAGCAAAATATTGAAAATAGATGAATCTCACTATTTATTAATATTATAAACATCAGAATAATGAACAATAGTAACTTTTGAACAAAATTCTCCCTGCATATGCTAAAATCACTGTGGAGACATTAGTTAGGAAATATGATATTTGTACAATCTCAAAGCATTACTACAGAAATGCTGGTGATATCAAAAGGGAAAGTACATTTTTATAATGGAGAATGCTGGCACACATCTCATTATCCAAGTGCTCAAATAGCTCTATTTAATGTGGTGAGATAGACATAACTCCAAATTTTCTGTGCTAATTATTTTTAAATGTTTAGGTCAGTGATACTGTATACTAACAGTACTGTGGAACTGTCACCACCATCTATTTCTAGAACTTTCACATAATCTCAAATGGAAACTACCCATTGTAAACAACTAGAACTACATTATCTAGTAACTTCATCTCATGTGTGTGCTGAAACTAACTGGTTAGTTCCTGAGAGGTTCCTTGAATGTAGAACATGCACGCAACTCTCCCAATGCTTATGATGTTCTAGTTTATCATGCACTTGAAGTAGGTGGTTGAAGGCCACTCCCTAATATTACTCACCCTTTCTCCTCTCTGACCTTTCCTGGGATGACTTCACCCATCCTGTCCCTTGGGTGTCCTTCTCCTCCAGTGGACAATGACCAAGTCTTGTCCCTTTTCCGTTCTTGGTCCAGTATTTCAATTCTAAAATCTGCCGCAGGAACCCCGTAACCTGTGTCTCTTGCTGGTCTTGCTTCACCATGGTCTGCCTCTCAATGCTTCTGGCCCCATGACTCTTATTCCCTTTGACATTTATTTTTTTCTAAGGTCACCTGAAAACTGTTGCTTTCCTGCCATCTGCTCAGGTGCAGGTGAGGGGTCAGAGAGAGGCTACCGGCTGTCCAGGTGTGAGTATAGGGTCAAAGAGAGAAGTTACCTGTGTTCCCTTTCTGAGCGCTACTAGTCCCATCCCTATTTCTGTGGCCACTCTGATTGACTATCCATTTTGTTGGAGAGTTAAAATGACCAGTTGTCTTTACTAAATTACCTGGTACTTCATCCTTCCTTTCTCCCTCTTTGCTGAAATTGTAGGGCTTGAACAACAACATGCCAAAATGTTTAACTTGAGTCTAATAATTAAGAAATAATCAGACCACTCCAGAACTCCAGGCCACCCTCTATGACTCCAGCATCCTCTCTAAAAATAACCATGGCCTAAGATATGAAACTAAATGAGGGGCTAAAAAGATAACTAAATGTGTTGGGTGCATGCTTTTTATGAGGATATGATCCTGGGTTTGATCCCTAGCACTTCTGGGAGCTACCTCCAAGAACAGAACTAAAAGAAGCCCCTGAGCATCAGCACATGTATTCCCCGAAAAAACAAAAATATTAAAAGGTGATCATATGGGTCAATTATAAGAATTTAAGAGGCATGACAATCAAATATAATCTGAATCTTTGACTTTATCCTATCCATAAAAACAGAGTCATGAAGTACATTATTTGGACAGTGGAAGAAATTTGAATATGCATTATATATTACCTAAACTTACCCTGTCAATGTTAGTGTATTTGGTATGAGGATTGAATTGTACCTCAGAGAGAGAATGTCCTTATTCTCAGGGGTGAAATGCTGTGATCTCTAACTTACTTCTTTTTTTTTCTTTTTAAAGTTTTTTAATTGAATTACTGTGAGTTACTGGAGCGATAGCACAGCGGGTAGGGCGTTCGCCTTACAAGCGGCCAACATGGCTGACCCGAGTTCGATTCCTCCGCCCCTCTCGGAGAGCCCGGCAAGCTACCGAGAGTATTCGATATGCCAGACACAGTAACAACAAAGTCTCCAATGGAGACATTACTGGGCCCGCTCGAGCAAATCGACGATCAACGGGAGGGCCTTTACCTTTACCTTTACTGTGAGTTACTGGGCCCGCTTGAGCAAATCGATGAACAATGGGAGGACAGTGACAGTGACAGCGACTGTGAGATAGACCCTTACAAAGGCCTTACATGTTACATGAGATAGACCCTTACCTGTTCATGCTTAGGTTTTGACCAGTACACATTTCCCAGTACCAGTATTCCAAATTTCCCTCCCATCACCCCCCATCCCACCTCTCTCCCCCTCTCTCTCTCCCTCTCTTTCTCCCTCCCTCCCTCCCTCCCTCCCTCCCTCCCTCCCTCCCTCTCTCTCTCTCTCTCTCTCTGTCTTTTTGGAAATTGTAGTTTGCAATATAGATACTGAAAGGTTGCCCTGAATATCACTTTCCCTACTTTTAATACCAAGTTCTTTACAATGTGATAATTTCCAACTATTATTGTCATACTTGTCTGTTCTCTAATTTATTTCTGAGTGGTTTTCATGCATATGGACAAATACATTGATCAATCATATGTTCATATGTATATATTTAAAAGGGAAAGAGAAAAGAAATGTAACAAAATTAGGAACTGGGGGGAAACAAACACAATAAGATGAAATATATCATTTACTTTGGACAAACTGGCAGGCTACCGAATGTAGCCTGCCCACACGGCAGAGTCTGGCAAACTCCCCATGGTGTACCCAATATGCCAAATACCAGTAACAATGATGGGTCTCATTCTCCTAAAGAGCCTTGAATATAATCTCAGGGCTAGGATGAAGGAGACATTACTGGGGCCTGCTCGAGGCAATCGACAATTAACAGGATGATTTGTGATTTGTGATTTGTGATATCATTTAAAGAACTGTGGATTATAAATGTATTTGTATTTTATATCTTTACTCATTTTAAAAGGTAAAGGTAAAGGCCCTCCTGTTGATCGTCGATTTGCTCGAGCGGGCCCAGTAACGTCTCCATTGGAGACTTTGTTGTTACTGTGTCTGGCATATCGAATACTCTCGGTAGCTTGCCGGGCTCTCCGAGAGGGGCGGAGGAATCGAACTCGGGTCGGCCATGTTGGCCGCGTGTAAGGCGAACGCCCTACCGCTGTGCTATTACTCATTTTAATCATCATATTTTAAACTAGACAATGAAACAACATAAAATCTTCCCAAATCCTTTGGTTCTTATCTCTTAGTATGAAGTCTACATGAGTCTTTAATTTAGCATGAAAAAATTAAAATGTAATGTTTTTGGTATTATATTTTATGGAATTTGATTGCATTTTTCAGTTGTGCAGCAATCTAGTTATGAATAAGGTGTAAGATCCTGAATGAAGATGTTTGGAAAGGTTTTTCAAAAGCATTTCTAATATTTTCCCACTTTGCACATTTAACAATACTTCCACACATCAGATGGAAACTTGTTCTCTTGAAAAGCATTCTTGGGGCAGGAACGATAGCACAGTGGGGAGGGCGTTTGCCTTGCACGCGGTCAACATGGGTTCAATCTCTGACATCCCATATGGTGCTCCAGCACTGCCAGGAGTGATTCCTTAGTGCAGAGCCAGGAGTAACCCCTGGGCATTACTGGGTGTGACCCAAAAAGAGAAAAAAAAGAGAGAGAGAGAGAAATTAAGAAAAAGAAAAGCATTCTTGTGCTTCAGAGCAGAAATATAGAGAGCAGAAAATAAATCAATATTTGGTCAACATGGGTGATTAACATAGAGAGTAATAACTGATCAGCTTGAATCCTTATGTTATTCTCAATTCAAATATCTCTTGCAGGTGGTGAAATTGACTGTGTGGATAAGGATGGAAACACTCCTCTCCATGTGGCAGCAAGATATGGTCATGAGCTTTTGATTAACACCTTAATAACCAGTGGAGCTGACACAGCAAAGTAGGTTACTAAAAATACAGTGGAATAATCTCCACTTGTGGGAATACTGCCAAAAGGATTCTGCTGTGTAGTACATAACACCCATTTATCCAGATTAAGGTGGATCTGAACCATTAAGCTAAACACAAATTAAATTTGAAATAAATTAAGTGACTTTCAGTGACTGATGCAAGGAAGAACTAGTGTTATTTTTCAGTTACTTCAAAAAGAGGTCTATTCCAGTGGTTTCAATTAAGGAGACTTAAACTTTATCCCTAATTCCCATTTCTAATGTTCTTCTGTTCTTTCCAGTGGTCAATGTTAGTTAAACAGGGAAAACTGAAATATTACTCAGAAAAATGAGAATTTATTCAGGGTGTTTGCTTAATTTTTGCAGTATGGTTATAGGATACAATTGATTAAATCTTCTATGGGAAAAGGGACTTTGTTTTAGATTTCTATTCAATAAGAATTTATAAAGCATGTGTGTGAATCAGTGACAATGTTTAGTTACTCTTTAAGAAGTAAGTTGCCTGATTAGTACCTTTAAGGAACTGATAATTTTGTTGAAAGGGCAGAAAGTGAACATGAGACTAAGAACTGTGAAAGATAGTACATAATTAAGTTCTAAAAGAAGCATAACTTTAATGATAAAAACCAATGGGATCTTGTGGTGCAGGGACTGAACCAAATCTCCTGCACACAAAGCATGCCCCGTAGCATTTGAGCCATCACCTTGGCAAATTGTGAAGAATGAGAATTTGAGAAGTCCAGGGGATGACAGATTTCCAAAAAAAGGAAGGAAAGCAGGAACAGAATACAAGAGCACAATTCTAGAAAGGCTTGGCCTGTCAGATGGTGTGTGAATGGGGTACTCCCCAGTGAGGTTCCTGGATTCTGATTCAAAAATTTGTGAACTGTGTGACTTTGAACTTCTTGCTTGGTTTCTCTGCCTTTCATGTTCAAAGAAATGTATTAATGTTTCCTGCACATAATTTTGTTCTGAGAATTTAAAGCCTTAATTACTGGTAAAGTTCTCATAGGTAAAGATGGGCATGGGTGTGAGATATATAAATACATCTGCTACGATTATTAAGGTAATCCATGTTAAAAGGTTTTTGAGCAGTCCCTGATAGTAAACTATAAATAAATGCTAATTATTATTTCATTACTTAGAAATATATAGTAGAACTAAATGAAAGACGGTTTTAAATGCTTAAATAGAAATTTAAACTTAATCACTGAGTCTGGGAGGAACCATAACTGAATTTTTAGGAGAAAAACAATATGAGTGCAGAATTTTATTAGGACTGCAAACTTACTTGTCAAGTGTTATGAAACAGAACTGAACATATTTTACTTGAGATATTGACTTGACAATAAGCCAGCAATTTAAGTGGTTGAGGGAAACTCTTGTGGGATAATGCTTGAAATCAAATATGTTGTAGACAAGGTATCCTGGACTTCAAGTGAATTACATGCCATACCATATGATGCTAGATTTGGTAGATTTATAGTGTATGATGGTTTGTTTTTCATTGATTTGTGGGCAACTAGTCTAGTGACAAAAATAAGATTCAATCAATACAATATTGTGAGGTTGATTTTGCTTCTTTTCTTTTTTTTTTTTTAAATAATGGAGGCTTTGGACCAGACTGTGGGAGCTATCAGAGAAACACTGAGCGCTCCAGAAGAAGTAGCAATTCTCTAAGAATAGATAGGAGTTTGCCAGGTTAAACAGAAATGAGGAGGTAGAAAGATGAGGGACGAGACAAGGAAAGACTTACAGAGAGAGGAAAAGGTATTTACAAAAGAAAATACATATGAATGTTCTGAAAGCATATTTCTATGACTGGGTTATCTCGGGTGTGGTACAGGGGTGGAAAGAAAAGAATTCCACTTCTTTAAGGACTTTATGGGATGTGGTCAGGAGTTGGATTCCATTCAAGACATTCAGAAGCTATCAAAGAATTATAAGTGGGTGTAGGTTAAATCGTGTCTAATGATCCCGTGTGTGTGTAAGAAAGATCACTCTGATAGCAGTCCAGACATATTGGAGGTGGTCCCAATTGAAAACATTTGGTAGCTTCTTGCAAACATCCAGGGAACAGAAGATGAGGGCTTGAGCTAAGGACTGGCAGAGGGCGTATGGAGGAAGAAAATGCAGGAAGGAGCAAGCTTTCAGAAGTATCCCGTTCAGGAGGCAAAAAACCTTTTTTTAATTGAGATGTTGCAAGTTTGAAGAAGTGAGTTACTTTTGTGGGAAAAATACTCTATTAGGATATGGGAGGTGGGGTTACATTTCTGACCTGGGTTTAGAGTTCCCAATCAGATCACAGCTACTCAAAATCAGAATATGTGCCCAATGAACAAAAGATAAAACCTCTAGGTACAAACCCACTTCACTGGTAATGTTTTCATAGTTTCAGTGGTAATTTTTTTCTCAGCTCTGGGTTGCTTTGATCCAACTTGAATAACTATGCATTTCTGATTTCCTTCCAGATTGGAATCAGTTGAGGGATAAAGCTAAATCAATTAAAACAGGGATCAATTAAAACTTCCAAACACCTGCACTTAATAAGCTCAAAATTTATTTCCTCATAACTATTTTGCTTTCAGTTTTTGCACCTTAGAAATGACATTATTGTTCTGATAGTCACTCCTTCTACTGGCTGTGATGTTGTCCTGGACACACTCCATCTGCTCCTGAGCCTGACGTTTTCTGTCTCTCTACATCATGATTGATATGGTAGTTCACATTTTGACAAAGCTAAGTCACATTTTTCATTGGAGGATGGACAGTTCTAGTGGCTAACGTGCTGACTTAAGAGTGGGAGTAGTGGGAGTAGAGCTTCTACAGTGACTTAAACAAAACAGTGGAAGAGCTGACGCACCTTTATTCAGTCTACTGCCAAACTTCATGCATATGGAGGATTCATTGGTCCTCTCTAGATTTAGACAGCATTTGCCTATTAAAATACAAGATTATTCTTTTCTAATTGGACCCTACAGAGCACTGTTATAAATACAAGCAGACACTAAAATTTGGCAGATGTTTATGGTGAAAAGTTGGTCATTCACAAAGCCAAAATAACCTTTATTGCTAGTGGGTTTAGATTACCATCAATAGGAAAAGACCATAGAGTATTGGAGAGATTGGACAGAGGGTGATGCTCTTGCTTTGCTTATGGCCAACCCTGGTTTGATCTGCAGAATCTCAGTTACCCAAACACCACCAGTAGTGACTCCCAAACACAGAGCTGAAAGTAGCACCTGAACACTGCTGTGTATGGCCTCAACCCTGCCCCAAATAAGTAAAATATTTGGAGACCTGCCAATAGCCAGATGTTTTTATCAAACTTCAGAAATGTGCAGACTAATATGAGAAAAGGTAGGAAAGTAGGAGAGGAGAAAGTAAAAGAGACTCTCAGAGGGAAGAACTTTCATGTACTAAAGCCTGGGGAATGATAGAGCAGGCTCCTGAAGCAAGAGGTATGGAGAGATATCAGTGAGGTTCTAGAATACACGTGGAGTAAGTAACAGTCAGATTCAGAAGGGGACTTGCTTTGCACATGATAATTTGATTGTATTTTAAAAGAACCATTGAAGATGTTTGTGGGTTGCAAGCAGTAAAAGTTATTTATACCTGATATGCATGCTATATATTTGGACACAGGTAAAATTAATAAATTGTTTTTTAGTGTTCATCATCTAGTAAGAATCATAAAATCATTTGATGATCAAAAATCATCATATGGGCGTCAGAAAGATAGTGTGGGCATGTAAGTGACTGACCCAGGTTCGATTCCTAGCATTCTCTGTGGTCCCCTATGCCTCCTGTGAGTGAAGCCTGAGCACAAATCTGGGATTATGCTCTGAGCATAGCTGAATGTAGCCCCTAAACAAATAAAAACCATCAAATATTTTTGTATAACCAACTCAGTGGACAAAAGTAAACGAAGTTTCCCTTCCTTTGGAAAGCTGTGAGATAATTCTTTCATACACCATTTTGAAATATAGAAGGGTAACAGAAAGGCTAACTGATCACAGTTCATTAAAAAAAAAAGAAATCAGAAACCTGAATTAAAGGTAACACCACTTGATTACAACTCCAAACTCACAATCTGCTGATGATTCAGAAAACTAATAATAATTGCAAGAGTAATAATAGTACTAGAAGGTTTGGTAAAGACTTACCATAAACCACTTGATCTTTTTCACACTTTCTATATACATTCTCTTAACTAGTCCTTAAAATTGCTCTATGATTGACACTGTTATTTTTATTTCCCTGGTGAGAGAGCCATTATATACTTGCTGAAGATCAAATAGCTAGCACATAGAACAAGGACTTAAACCCAAAGTTTTTGGCCTCACCACCTTAAATGAACCAGTGTTCATTACCATATGCCGCTAAGGAAAGACTCTAGAGATAACTGGATTTGGAAATCAGGGTCATGTTTTTTTTATGCCAAAGGAATGGCTTAATAGAGCTGATATTCTCTTGGCTCAAAAACCCTTTCCTCACCTCTGCTGGCTCTCAACAATTAATTCTGACCTCATTTATTCTGGATAAGTGGGCAGGAGGCACCAGCTAATAGCTGCCTTAGAAATAGCTAATACAAACATGTTCCATTAATTTTATGACTGGTCAAGTAAGTCTAGCCAGTCCACTGGAGTTAGTCTCTTCTTTCCTGTGATTTATACTTTGCTAAATATAGTGCTATTTGATATCTTTATTTCTTGATCTTTCTTAATGTATACTTGACAAAGGAAGAGTAATATTTTTATTTTATGAAGTTAGATCATAATTTTCCTGCTAAAGGTGTTATTACTGTGCTTTACAGTAGTACAAGACTAATTTTATTTGGGAATATGGATCATATCTGAAATGTGCAGAGATTCTGAATTCTATTTTATTTTCTTTCATGTCTTGGCCTGTTTGAACCAAATATGAAGCATATTCATGTTGAAATGCCAAAAGAACTTGAGTCTCAATAACCTACATTGAAATGATCTTA